CTCATCAGCGTTCGCGAACGCTTCATCTACACTGCAGCAGCGTCAACCTATGCAGTACTTCGACCCAGGGGAATTTATGACACAATTCACCAACCAGATGATGGCCATGACGGAACGTAGATTCCAGGAGGAATCAAATGCTAGGAAAAGCCTCTCATCTACCGACACCGTGCGCAAACCTACGGACCTGTGCGAACCCACGGGCCTGCGCGAATCTACTCCTCTTGGAACTACACCTCAAGGCTTGGAGGATAGAAGAGATGACTTACCTACTCTCAAATCTACTTCTGCGAACCCTCAATGTTCGAGAACATCGAAGGATCCAGCTCCTACACCTAGCCGCTCTAGGTCGAGATCTTATATCTCGCTCAGACGTTCACGAAGTTACTCACCTCAAGCCAGAGGTTCGCGAAGAGAAGACTCACATCACAGGAGTTCGCCCTACAATAGACGTTTGCGAAGAGATAGCTCACCTCACAGAGGTTCGCGAAGAGATGTATCCATAGATAGAGGTTCGCGGAGAGAACACTCTCAAGATAGACGTTCGCATAGGGAGGAATCTTCAGATAGAGGTTCGCGAAAAGGATGAAGGTTCGAGAAGGGAAACAGGTTCGCAGATGGATGAATTGTTGAGACCTAGCTCTAATAATCAGGAGACTTCGGACTTGCAAACGGACTTCGTCTTCCCAGACTCTGAAGTTACAGCATGGATTGCTAATGGGTTGAACTTGGAGTCTCCTTCTAAGGATAAAGATGAAGTCTACACTTATATGATGCGTAACGATAACTTCGACTCCGTCACAATCCCTCCGATTGAACCTATATCCAAGGTACCTTCTAACCTACGCACAGCTTTGAGAAAGCTACAGACATCTACAAGGTTCGAGAACTCTTACATCAACAGGCAGGATGTTGACGTTGACTCTATTACCATACGGCTGAATAAAACGAAGCAATGATGGAAACGGATAGTTTTGTCAGAGTTTAAAACTCAACAAAAGATCTACATGTGCGATCTCTACAGTTACAGCCTGCACAACTCTACAACCTGCACAAACCTTATACCTGTATAAGTTCAGTTTCGGACGACAACCTACTTGATGATAGGAATCACTTCATCTATACGGATGCTGAGGTCTTATACCAGGTAGCAGATGGCCTGTGGATTTTGTCGTTCACTCACTCACTCACTCCAACCCAACAGAGACGTACTGCATATACGCTGATGACTTTGACTCCAATATGATATCACCTATGAAGCCGATATCTCAAGTACTGGAGAACCTCAAGACGACCTTTGTAAATGGCTTAAGGTCAACAACGCCTTCAAGTATCCTTGAACGGACGTACAGATGATCATATTAACACTCGTCACTCAGCGTGGGGATTAGGAATTATATCCTTTCAACTAGATTCAACAAGAATTTACACTTGGAGCAACCCTTAGTCAAGAGGTTTATATGAGCGCCGTAGAATTACGCGTGCTTTTACTCAACCAACTACATTGCATCAGGTTTCATGGAGGCCAACTTGCTACAACACTGGTGACGTCATGCTTGAAGCTGATTGGTCCACGTCAGACAACGCCTCCCACGCCTCCACAAGGGATTCGGTGAATCCCTTGACGATCTATGCGATGTTGAAGATGTCTTTGAGGCTGTGTTTGAAGCCCTTCACGAGTGCATTCGCGAGTGCTGATCATCTAATTCGGCATCTGGGGATAGCCGTGTCGTCCTTCGCGCAGGCTGGTTGACGTCCTGAAGCGTAGATCTGTTCCCGGTCGCCACGCTGCTTGGAGGGCTCTCCGAAGCATTGTTGCTGCGTGGACGCTACCGTTGCTGAGGCCCGCTTCTACTGGTGATGTATCGGGATGGATGATGGCGGCTCATCATAGAGTCCTCTTCCGTCCATCGGGATAATCTCGCCGAAAGTCCTTGTAGTCTGCGCAGACGCCCCCCGTAGAGTTGGTCGCCGCCTTAGGGGTGTGCAGCCTTCTCTGGGTAGAGGATGGCTTTTTTTTCGCGTCTCGCGATGATTGTAGAGCTGCCCTCTCTGTGTTGATAGCGATATGGTCCAGGGATCGCTTCATCTGCCACCCTCGACTGCGTGGTTGTATCTCTGGGATGATCAGCAGCGCTCATCATGAAGTCATCTCACTTCCATCGGGCGATGTCTGCCGAAGGTCCCTGTAGTCTCGCGCAGAAGTCCCCGAGCTGCGAGAGCTGCTAGGTTGTCCGATGCCTCTTAGGCGGTCCCACGTGAGGCTTCATTCTGGGGACGTGACTTGAGGATGGCTTCGCCTAAGTACAGAGAAAAAAAATTATTTATTAAATTAATTTCTGTTAAATGCTGATAAAAATTATATCGATAAGCAATACATGTTGTTGTGCAGCTAGGGGCACAGTCAATGGGGCTTGCAGCAGCGAACCTAAACCTACAACGAAAACAGGTTTTCATGAAATGTAAACAACTGAACAATCACGTACAAAAAAACGTGAATAAACAATGAAAATACGAATAAATTTCAACCCATATTGTTGAAGGATACTCCCAAAACCCCTATAAAGGTAATTTATAGGGTAATAACTAAATAATCAAAGGATATAGTGCCGTATTGGAGACACAGGTGCTCCCCCAACCGTCCACTAGGGCGAAGAAGGAGAGAGTGAAGCATGGAAGCATGGTGGCGCCGCTTTCCCGCCAAAACGGCCAGACAGATAACTCTTGGTGAGTGGTGACTTTACGTCTGTTTTTTATTGAAGGGAGCTTCAATAGGAGATACAAGTGTTCCACTAACGTTCGCAAGAGGAAGGAGACAAGCAAATAAGCATGAGTCAGGATAAGGGAAAATTTGATATTTTATACTTATCATGACTCATGACGAGAAGCCCTCCCAACCTCCCCGTTGAAGACACTTGAGATTTCACAGCAGATCCAAGTGCATGGGCAGAAAATCAGGAGAGAGTGACAAGTAAGGAAGGTCACCTGACTGGTTTGCGCAGGGAAAGGGCAAAGGGAGGTAACTTGTGGGTGAGTGTATTTATACGTCCGCTTCGGGAACTTCAAGGGATTCAAGTGTTCCACTACCATTCGAAGAGGAAAGGGAATTAAGCAAAAGATCATGAGTAAGGATAAGTATAAAATATCAATTTTACTTAAAAAATTACATCTACCTGGCCCTTCTCCCCTCCATTCAGGATTACCTCTCCCTTCTCCCCATCCCCTCCCTACAGGCCTACCTGGCCCTTCTCCACTCTCCCCTTCATTCAGGATTACCTCTCCCTTCTCCCCATCCCCTCCCTACAAGCCTACCTGGCCCTTGTCCCTCTCTCCTTCATTCAGGATTACCTCTCCCTTCTCCCCATCCCCTCCCTACAAGCCTACCTGGCCCTTCTCCTTCTCCCCCTTCATTCAGGGATTACCTCTCCTTCTCCCCATCCCTCCCCTACAAGCCTACCTGGCCCTTGTCCCTCTCTCATTCATTCAGGATTACCTCTCCCTTCTCCCCATCCCTCCCCTACAAGCCTACCTGGCCCTTGTCCCTCTCTCCTTCATTCAGGATTACCTCCCTTCTCCCCCATCCCCTACCTACAAGCCTACCTGGCCCTTCTCCCTCTCCCTTCATTCCAGGATTACCTCTCCCTTCTCCCCATCCCTCCCCTACAAGCCTACCTGGCCCTCTCCCTCTCCCTTCATTCAGGATTACCTCTCATTCCCCCATCCCCTCCCACAGCCTACCTGGCCCTTCTCCCTCTCCTTCATTCAGGGATTACCTCTCCCTTCTCCCCATCCCTCCCTACCTGGCCCTCTCCCTCTCCCCCCTTCATTCAGGATTACCTCCCTTCTCCCCATCCCTCCCCCTAAAGGCAGCCTACCTGGCCTCTTGTCCCTCCTCCCTTCATTCAGGATTACCTCCCCTCCCCCATCCCCTGCCTACCTGCCTTCTCCTCTCTCCTTCATTCCTCCTTACCTCCTTCCCTTCTCCCCATCCCCACCCTACTCCTTCTCCTCTCCCCCTTCTCCCATCCCTCCTTCAGGCCCTCCTGGCCCTTCTCCTCTCCCCTTCATTCAGGATTACCTCTCCTTCACTCTCCCACCCCCATCCCCTTAAGCCTACCTGGCCTTCTCCTCCCTTCATTTCAGGATTACCTCTCCTTCTCCCTCCCCTCCCTACAAGCCTACCTGGCCCTTCTCCCTCTCCCCTTCATTCAGGATTACCTCTCCCTTCTCCCCATCCCCTCCTACAAGCCTACCTGGCCCTTCTCCCTCTCCCCTTCATTCAGGATTACCTCTCCCTTCTCCCCATCCCCTCCCTACAAGCCTACCTGGCCCTTCTCCCTCTCCCCTTCATTCAGGATTACCTCTCCTCCCTTCTCCTCCTACATCCCTCCCTACAGGCCCTTCACCTGGCCTTCTCCCTCTCCCCTTCCCATTCAGGGATTACCTCTCCCTTCTCCCCTCCCTCCCCATCCCTCCCTACAAGCCTACCTGGCCCTTCTCCCTCTCCCTTCATTCAGGATTACCTCTCCCTTCTCCCCATCCCTCCCTACAGGCCTACCTGGCCCTTCTCCCCTCTCCCCTTCATTCAGGATTACCTCTCCCTTCTCCCCCATCCCTCCCTACAGGCCTACCTTGGCCCTTCTCCCTCTCCCCTTCATTCAGGATTACCTCTCCCTTCTCCCCATCCCCTCCCTACAAGCCTACCTGGCCCTTGTCCCTCTCCCCTTCATTCAGGATTACCTCTCCCTTCTCCCCATCCCTTACCTACAAGCCTACCTGGCCCTTCTCCCTCTCCCCTTCATTCAGGATTACCTCTCCTTCTTCCCCCATCCCTCCCTACAAGCCTACCTGGCCCCTTGTCCCTTCTCCTTCTCCCCTTCAGGATTACCTCTCCCTTCTCCCCATCCCTCCCTACAAGCCTACCTGGCCCTTCTCCCTCTCCCTTCATTCAGGATTACCTCTCCCTCTCCCCATCCCTCCCTGGCCTCACCTGGCCCTACCTGGCCCTTGTCCCCGGCCACCTTAGCCTGATGCAGGACTGTGTTCATGTGAGCGTGGATGGTCCTCACTTCACTGCTGGAGAAGAAATGGCCTGACAGCAGTGACATCACCCTGGGACACACAAACAACATGTTGGTGTTTGGAACATTTGGCAACAGATGAATATAGCTTCTCAATTCTTCAAAGAGGGAATTAATTTTAAATGTACTGACCTATTGAAATCACTGTAATGCATACTTGTCAGTTATGATTTGGTTCACCAATTTAGAACAGTGAGCCTGTTCCATGTGTTAACTGACACTACAGACGGGGCTGGTCTGACCCAAAAGTGATATTCCTCCTTACCTCTTATTTTCATGGAAAGAGACGGGCCAGTATTTGATGGCATCTTGGTACTGAGTTCGGGTCAGTGGTGGGTTCTGTGGCACCTTCACAAGGACTGGCTTGCCCAGAGCTGGGAACCTCGAGGCAATGGAGTCCAGGATGTCCACATCAGATTTGGAGTCAGTGGCAGACTTGGGACAGACTATCACCTGCAGCTGGTCGGCATCTGTGCGAGTTATTAACATACGTCAACATACATTGAACTTTCAGGAATGGTAGTAACCAAGAAAAGGTGGGAAAAATTCTCACTGTACAGTATTACAGAAAAACAACTTATGTCATTATTAACACTTCATGGTCTTGTATACATCATGTTGCTGCATCACCATGAATATGGATGGCAGCTGTTAATTTCAACTATCAAATAAAGCAGAGGTTTTGTTGTATAGAGATGTAAGCAAGCAAGTCACTACTATGCTACACAGTGGCCAAGTGTATTCAAATGTTTGGAGGCGCAGAATGAATACAAGCCAAAGATGTATTATATCTATGTATGGAACTGTAACACAAGTAAAAGCATGAAACTTATCATTACAGTTCAAAACATAATCTAAAAGTTAAAAACATAATCTAAAACAGTGAAAGGTATATTTTAAGCTATTTTGTTTTGTTGACTATAGTAGTCCTTATGCGAGTTGGAACACTTTATGTTCTCACTGGTATATATGTCCAGGATATTTGCTTGAGTTTATTCTTGAGTGTAATTTACACTTTGTTAATACATTATGAAGCATGTTAAGAAAGAAATACATGTTCAATGTTTGTTTGGTCGGTTATTGTTTAATGCCGCCCTCAGCAGTATTCCAGCTATATAACTGTGATCTGTAAATAATCAAGTCTGGACCAGAAAATCCAGAGACAGATATCAAGAGCATTGATCTACTCAATTGTGATACGATGACATGTGTCAACCAAGTCAGTGAGTCTGACCACCTGATCACGTTAGTCGCCTCTTACGACAAGCATGGGTTGTTGAAGACCAATTCTGTCCCGGATCTTCACAGGTTACATGCTCATTGTCATGTAATCTGTATGAAAAGTTTTAACCTTTCTTTGCAACCTGTCCAACTTACTATCTTTTGTCTTGTGATTGCGGACTCTCTTGAGATGCAACAGATCCGTCAAGGGTAGATCACAGGTCAGTTCCCTGACAATCAGAAGTGTGATTACATCCCTGTATTATCATGTCAGCATTGTCCACTAAAAGGATCATTAAAAAAAAATAAAGGTTTTGTGGATGAGGTGATGCTGGTCATTGTGATTGGTTCAGGACAGCAAGAATATACATTCAATGCCAAAAGTTAATACAATGTAACCCAGGCAACTAAATTGCAGTTCTTTATGTGATGCTTTTCTGCATTCTTAATCCTGATCACAACTGCATTGTATATTGACTTGCCTCTCTGTCACTGTCATTTATTGCTGTTATTGATATTCTGTCATATAGAACCTTTATCCAAAGTATGCCAATTTCCAGTGCATGTCTTTGTCTCTTCATCTGTCCATTGATGTCCATTTCTATATATAAGTTTACATTTACATCGGTAGTCAGTCTGGTTTTCCCACTGCTTGTGTACGGACGACCTTGAGCAGGGTGTTTTGTAGGAAACACTCTGACATTGAGCTGCATCTTCACTCACATCATTTAAGTTTGAGCTGGAAATTCTACTCATTGCTTTCCCAGTCATGACCGAGTGCTTTCCAAGTCAAGATTCATTGTCTCTTCAAGTTTAATCATGTGTATTACACATTACAGAAAAGTGAGGTTGATGTTGTCCTTGTTTCACCAAAGCGCTAATTCCTCTGTCAATGTGTTGACAGCTATGATAAGGATGTATGAAGTATACCATTTCTAAACCAGCATCTACATCATCTAAAAATGACATGAAAACTTGCAACAGCATACTTTACAATTTTGGCTGTCTGTTTCTTCTCTTGAATGATACAGGCATAAGCATCAACTGAAACAGAGCCAGTGCACTAGAATGTTGCCAGTTCTCTGTGCTGCTGCTAACAAGGATCAATAAACAAAACCAACTCCTCAATGTCTCTAACAATCTATCTCTGATAGAAAAATGCTTAACACTGAATTAAGAAAACATGTCAGAATCTTGTTAGCCTTTTGAAAGTAATCTCAACACATATACAAATTTGTTGTCTAAATTGGATACAAGTTCAAAGAATGGGGGTCAGTATATACAGAGTGGGGGTCAGTATATACAGAGTGGGGGTCAGTATACACAGCAGAGAATGGTGTCAGTGAGTAGGGTGTCGGTTGGGAGACTCACCTAGACTGTTGTGTGTGTGTACACAGCAGAGAATGATGTAACTGATTAGGTGGTACAGCTTGTAACTAGATAGATAGATAGATAGATAGATAGATAGATAGATAGATAGATAGATAGATAGATAGATAGATAGATAGATAGATAGATAGATAGATAGATAGATAGATAGATAGATAGATAGATAGATCGTCTTTATTTCCTCCACAATTGAAGATACATATGCATGATTTAGCAGATACTACATTTTACAAAGTACAAATGTATGGAAGTTATACAATACAAAAACATTTAAAGATATGTATATATGGGGGGATGTAAATCTAGTAACATGTGATGAAAAACCGTTTCCATTCATGAACAGCTTTACTTGTGATTTTCATACATTGATCCACAGATCAGTATCAAGATCTCTAATGTTATCATTTGGCACTCCTCCAAGTAGAAAACTAATCAGTGCATCATCATCATCATTCCAAACACTTACAATGGTTGTAACATCCAATAGATCAATGAGGGAGCCAAATATTCACTCTCTGTTACATTCCGTTTGTGGACAAAAGAGAAATACATGTTTTACAATGTCATAAGCATCTGTGCCACATAAGCATTCTTTAGATTCTAAAGCGAAAGTGCTGACATGGATAAGGTAGGATATGTCATAGAAATAATTTGAATCATTAAGAGCTATTAACCAAAGTTTGTTACCAGCAGCTGGATTGTGTAGGAGAGCGTATCTGTGGAGATTGACTCTGTAGTTAAGTGCAGAGATAACAACATTTGCTTCAAATTTTGAGACTTTATCTCTTACAAGATTTGACCATTGATTTTTAGTCTTCCCAGGAACAATAATGCTCTCTGATCAATATACGCACGGAGTGATACAAGCCCAAGACAGTCTCTGGCAATGACCGAGCACGTGTGTTTAGAGAACCCTTGTACTTTTTTACAGAAGTATTTCTGCACACATTCAAGCATATCGTATTCTTTAGTTGATAATTTATTCCACATATTACAGGCAAATAGACCACATGGTAGTACAATACGTTCCCATATGCATACAGCATGCATAGAGTGAAGACCACCAAAATACAATCCATGACTGTGGTTAACATTGACTAGCTTTCTAAGCTTTTCACATATTAAAACAGTACAACTAAGGGTAGATTTATTATAAGCACGTTAATTTCGCTTCATGAATTCCCCCAAAAGGTCAAAATCTTTAATTCTTCAAAACTATTGGCAGTTGATGTAAAAAGTTTTAAAATTATTTAACAGAAGATTTTTTTATAACACTGAGGTATACCTTGGGCTTGGGAGGCCCAGGTAAATGGCTCTTTTCTAACTACGATCTGTCAAAAGGGTCCATGTGTCAGATGACGTAAATTGCGTCAGCAACACTTCACAATGTGCAAAAGGGGAAGATCAGGTAAAAGTGACGTTGAGGAAAGTTATATTTGACTTTCTGACGACAGTTCTTCCGAATGTGATTTTGTTCCTTTGGACTTTTCCGATGAATAGTCGTCAGATTGTGAATCTACAGAAACATCTGGTGACGATTCAATGCATTCGTCTCATTCAGAAGACCAAGAATGTTATCTTGGAAAAGACAGAGGAAAACTCCTCCTGGATCTAGTCGTACTCCTCAACGAAATATCATCCATGGTCAAATCCAAAGAGTAATCAATGCTGACAACGTTGTCCATGAAGAAGACATGTTTACAAAGTATATTACAGGAAACATGGTGGACACCATTGTGAAACTTACTGACATTCAAGGAAAGAAAGTAATAGGAGATAAGGGGACAGTCGATACAGAACGAGGAAAGATACAGACAAGACAGTAATTTTGACATTCATAGGAATTCTACTGACATGTGGACAAAACATGGTTACACTAATGTTTTATGGGATAAAAAGTACGGAGTTCCTATTGTGAGAGGTGCCTTGTCTCAAAACACATTCAAGTCTCTGATGAGTAAATTGAGGGTTGGTCACAAGGAAACAAGAAGTTTCAGACGCGCAAGACAAATTGGCACCAATCAGAGATATCTTGGATGAGTTTGAAAATGCTCTGAGAAAACATTATACCTTACTGTAGACGAGCAGCTTGTACCATACTGTGGTCGGAGTTCGTTCATCCAGTACATGCCAGCAAAACCAGACAAGTATTCAGCTTTAGGATTTTCTGGATTGTAGATTCTGACAACAGCTACCCTCTCAGAGGACTAGAACTGTTGTCAAATGTATTGACTATGGTTGGGACAGTCTGGCAGAATAAGTGCTTCTTGCCTCCAAAGTATCGAACAAAGACAGGAAGAGGTGTCAACACATCAATCTTTGGATTCCTGGGCAAGACCACCATAGTCTACCCACACACAGCTACACCCACTACACAATACACCCACATCGACCACACACGACACACACATCCACAACACAACACACCCACTACACAATACACTATCATCCACGACACACAAATCCACCACACAATACACCCACCATACACATTGTGCCATGTTTTTGCATAATCTAGATATAACATTCAATAAACATTGAAGACCATCGGGTGTACAACTTAATAGGGTTGATGTAACTGATTAGGTGGTCCAGCATGTAATTAGACGACTTTGCACTATACCAAGGTGTAGGCCTTGGCTGGAATACGAGTTTATTTACATGAACTACTGATTAGGGTGCTGTTTAGGAGACTCACCTAGGCAGTTGGGTGTGTGTACACAGCAGAGAATGGTCTTACTGAGTGGGGAGTTGGTTAGGAGACTCACCTAGACTTATGGGGTCTGTATACCTATCCTCCAAGACAGCTTCTGGTTGCCCCATTAAATCTGAATCAGGCCCTAGAAAAATCCAAATGTTGTATCATGTTATAATTGCAGCACCAGCTGACTGAGTCATTAGAAAATATCTACAAGTGTGTCCAAAGCAAAAGTAGAATCAAATGATGTAACTAGTGAATAAAGCATATTCGTCAATATTACATAAATCATTCTACCATGACTTCAGTAAACATTGGATTGTGATTGGTTAATTAAAGTCATTCAGAGGTATATAATCACGTTATACAGGTCTCTGATTTTCCGTGCGCAATCATACATGGTTACGGTAATGCACTATTTTTGTCTGCCCACCAACATGGCGGACACCAAACAACCTACCGATGCATCGATAAATTACGGCAGTTTTGCTGTCGGAAATTACACATATGTCTTTAAAGATGGATTTAGCGATGACGGGCTCGACTCACTACTTGCGTAAATCACAGCAATAGGGGTTTATACATACAAAATTACTTCGAAAGCATGGAAACAAATATTCAGTTGAACAAGATCAAAACATCGTCTGCTTTCCGAATAAAAATTCAGCAAAAACAAATATGTTTACATTGATTCTATGTTATGTCAGAATAGATCCAGCAATAGACTGCTACATAATTTCAATGTTAAATTTATTATCAGCTTTCGTCAATGATATCGCCACTGATCTTGATCCCGTAACGGAGGATGCATTAACATAGAACGCCGAAGAAATTTTAATGCCTTCCGTCCACATAAATAAACAGTTGGGTTATCAATTCAAACAAAATGATATTTTGAAATTTGTACTGTTTCAAATTTACCGGTACTTAAACACAATTACAGAATCTGCAAACCGTTCTTTTTAGCCCAACATATTTATTTTCTAAAAGTATAATATCGTTGAAAAAGTTATTTAGCTTAGTCATGATCCCTCTTATCCATTACACTGCTTGATCTAAAGTAGTCTATTAAAGTATAATTAATTACCTTACTGTGTTTATGCCAGAGGTACACCCTCATGTCCTGATCCATTCTTTCGGAAATATCACCACAAATCTGGCTCTTTGTCAACAGACTCGCGAACATGCCAGCGAATCCGATTCAATTTGAATTCACTACGCTTTGAAGCCACTAGGTCACAAAACACTTTCCAAAATGTAGAAAATAATATCCTTAGAATCGAATTTGAGCACAAAGTGCACACATGAGTTTGTAAGAGTCACCACAGCTGTCGCACACAGACGTAGATCTCTAGGTGCGTGAAATCATCAAGTTGACAGGGCGCAAAATTCAACAGTATCTAAATTCGGTACAACACGGACTTCTCGTTACAGCAAAAGCGCCTCTACTCTTAAATTTTGTACCAGTACCAGTAGTTAGATATCAAAGACTTTCTCAGTCATACAATCAGGTTAACCTTGCGCAAACTGTCAGAGGCTCTCCTGTCGCATCTTTCCAAATTTGCACGTAAATGTAAACAATGACTTCAGAGAAAAGGTCACGGCCATGAGGTTGCTGCCATTATTCTGGTGGGGAAAGGGTCTACGGTGGAATTTTCAAATGTGAACCAAGCTTTTTAAACTTATTTGATATATGTTTTCCAATTTATCAGTTAATCATTGGTGATTGATGCATTGAAAAAACAAAACGTGATTTGTTATTACTGAATCTGGAGTTTGTTAGTCATTGACGGTTTGCCACCAATCACCCCGTTTCGGGCGATGCCACTTGAGATTGGAATGCGAGGCCGCTTCACGTATTGACTCGTAACCAAAGAAAGAGCTCCACCTGAAATAGTTTATAAAATTGTCATGGTAGAATGGAGATAAACCTACTGTGTTGGACAATCAGAGGTATATAACGAAATTATAATAGCTCTAAATTGTTCATTTAAAACCTCAAGCTACGCGTTCGGTTTTAAATGAAATTTAGAGCTATTTTAATTTCGTTATATACCTCTGATTTTCCCACACAGTAGGTTTATCTCCTAATTATTCTCCTTTGAAAGAGTACCTTCCGTTCCCCAACTCTAAACCAAACTCACCCTAGGTAGGGAATCGTCAGTCGTCCGTTACCCCGCATCGGGTAAGTTTCTAGCGACTCTCGAGTCTTGGATCAAGACCAAGTTTAAGTTTCCACATATTGTTTGTTGTTTTAGGGATGTCGTATGTTGATTTAGTGTTAGTTTGGGAAGGGGAGAAATAGTATAGGAATGAGTAGGTTTGGTTCTGTTGTTTTCGGAGTAGGTATTAGGGGGTGGACATAAACCAAAGTTAAACTGTATTTAAGTAGGATTTAGGTAGGTAGATATATGTAGGCTTGTTTAGATTAATACGTTTTTTTTTCACAATAAACAAGAATGGAAACCTAAATATTTGTTTGTTCTGACTTTAATTGAGTTGAATTGGGAGAACCCCGCCAGGAACCATTCCCACAGAACTTGCAGACAAGATGTACTGACCACGTAAAGAGACCAAATTATCAAACACAACGCAAAGCATTTTACTTCAGTAACCAACCGACACTTGTCATACGTATACAACGTATTACACTCTAAACCTAGCCCTAACTTAAATTTTGGACTTTTAATCATTTTGTGAGTTCACTAGTAATTGTTGTGTTAAGTTTTGTTTATAATTCTAGAATATTTATACATATTATTTGGGATGGGGGAACGGGAGGAACTCCTATACCGTATAAGTCGCATCTGCAAAAATGGCAATCACAATGCCAATATATCAACGTTGCACTGCACCTTGGTTTTAAAATGAACACATACCAGTTTTTGTTCTCTTGGTGTCTGTCTCCATGTTCTAACTCGTCCCCCCTCGTACAAGTCAACGCATTAAAACAGTCATTGATTCAAACCGATTCTTTTCGTGCCTTCGACAATAACATAATGAGAGTGACCTCCCCCTAGTTGTTTCGATACGCAATCTCCTCACATCGATAGCCCGTTCACGTATGTATATTTTATCCTGTAGTGTGGCGATACCGGTGTCACGCACTGGGAAGGAGCTTGCAAATAAATGATGATTTGTCTTCGTTTGAACAGAAACCACAAATAAATACCAATTTATATTTTTTCGCAAACCAGCGAAACAATTATAAATTGGCATTTAACTATTCACATAATACAACATTACGTACAGTACAGATGTAGCCTATGAGATATTTTTAATAAATAATAACATGTGGTACACATTTGTATTTTCAACATGACACTGCTACTTCTCGCTACAACTATCAATATCTGAGTTTCAACGAAACTGAACGTCATATATCGCATATTCTGTCTTCTGAACAATGTGTTCAGCAATACAAGTACATGTAATGTATAATTTGATATAAGTATATACACGTACAAAGAACTTAATTACGCACCCCTGTATTTTTGCAATGATATATGTTTTCTACGCGTACTTACAACTTCTCGTGGTGACCACGATTGAAAACATGAGTTTTTCTGACCCGTATTATCCTTTGACTAAAAACCCACGTCTAAATGATTGGAATCCTTGTTGATTTTATGATGGCAATTGCTCATTAAAAACAACACCTGATTTTCATACAAAACTATGTTTGTACGAGTATGGCCCTGGAATATTTACTGTTGAATTTATTGTTGAATGGGAACATTCAAATTGTCACTTTGCGTGTCTTGCACGATTCAAGGTCAATAACGAGTGTAACCTCCATGTAACTGTATGACAGCCAGCACTCTCCTCCTCATACCCTCTGCAAGCATCCTTATCCTCTGAAAGGACAGTCTACGCAATTCCTCGTGTGAAGCAGCTTCCAATTGGGCCGGGTGCTGTACAGGAGGATCTCCTTTGTTGTACACGACGACCAGTCATGTCCCAGATATGCTCCAAAGGGTTATGGTCGGGGCTCATTCAATCGTGAGATATGTCAGGGGGTGCGTAACTAAGTTCTTTGTGTATATAATAAGTAATGCATAAATGTGTATAACTGTATATTTTAAGAAAGCTGATATAGTTTAAATGACTTTTCTTAAATGTTTGACGATTTGTTTAGTGATCAAATGACATGTGATAGTTTATCAAGTTTTAAATGTAGAGTGACGTTGTTAAAGAAACAATCTTCAGTTTCTATCCTATTGTGTGTGGTATCTGTCTATCGGACTGATCGGGCGGTCAGATCTATCCTATTGTGTGTGGTATCTGTCTATCGGACTGATCGGGCGGTCAGATCTATCCTATTGTGTGTGGTATCTGTCTATCGGACTGATCGGGCGGTCAGATCTATCCTATTGTGTGTGGTATCTGTCTATCGGACTGATCGGGCTGTCAGATCTATCCGATTGTGTGTGGTATCTGTCTATCGGACTGATCGGGCGGTCAGATCTTTCCGATTGTGTGTGGTATCTGTCTATCGGACTGATCGGGCGGTCAGATCTATCCTATTGTGTGTGGTATCTGTCTATCGGACTGATCGGGCGGTCAGATCTATCCTATTGTGTGTGGTATCTGTCTATCGGACTGATCGGGCGGTCAGATCTACCCTATTGTGTGTGGTATCTGTCTATCGGACTGATCGGGCTGTCAGATCTATCCTATTGTGTGTGGTATCTGTCTATCGGACTGATCGGGCGGTCAGATCTACCCTATTGTGTGTGGTATCTGTCTATCGGACTGATCGGGCTGTCAGATCTATCCTATTGTGTGTGGTATCTGTCTATCGGACTGATCGGGCGGTCAGATCTATCCTATTGTGTGTGGTATCTGTCTATCGGACTGATCGGGCGGTCAGATCTATCCTATTGTGTGTGGTATCTGTCTATCGGACTGATCGGGCTGTCAGATCTATCCTATTGTGTGTGATATCTGTCTATCGGACTGATCGGGCGGTCAGATCTATCGGTCGCGAATTCAGATACGTTTTCGTTATCGAATTACGAACCCGTTTGGTTCAGCAGTCATTTTAACCGCTTTCAAAGCTGTTTATAGTAAGATTCATAGCTCCTTTGTCACACCGTGCATTTACTAACCGAATTGTTGGTTGAGCAAACATAGGAAAATTATCAAAGGCTTAAACAATTTGGCTATATTCTCCATCAATTCCACCCATTTCGTTCTGAGGAGCTTGGGGTCATCAATTTTGTACACAGGTACTAGGGGTGTCAACAACTCTATACATGACTATATTTAAAATTTATGCTTTAAAAAGTATGGGAAGGAGGACGGGGGTAAATGATCAATCAAAATCATCTACTTGAGATATAAAATGACGTGATAAAATAGGCAATCTTCATTTTCCATCATATCCACTGTTTTCGATTTTCTTTTATTATACACTAAGAGAAAAATAATGTCATACTTTCAACCAATCTCAGTAAACTGATACAAGGAATGATAACGTTCCAGGTCAAGATTGAACCTTTCCCCCGTAGAAGGTTGTGCAAGGTGAACTCGGATCACGGTGTGGCCGCCAATTCGACGCAAAGGATGCGTTGATTCTCAAAACGATCAAATGTCTTCTTTCTGAAACGCCTCAGTCTCGTTTCGTACCACCTGGATTCACACATTTCTATCTTGCAAGATTAAAACGACACATAAGTTTACCTTCGATAGTACACCCTTTAGGATGTAGGTCCCATGGCGCTCAGAAACAACATCAACAAGATATTACATTTCTTTGATTTTAGAACTTGAGTTGATGAAGAATGATGACAAGTTTTATACAACTTCTTTTGTTGTGAAAGGCGACGTTTCGACATAGATTCTAATGTCGTTGTCAAGATATTACATCTTAATAGCATTTGAAAGTCCCGCATCATAATTGTTTCGAGATACACAAACCACACATGTTTCTCTCTACCGAGAAGCTAGAAGTCTTGACACTGTTTGTCGATCCTCAGGTCTTGACAGGGACAGCAATGGTATCGGAGGATACTAATTTACAAACGTGGACAGAGTCCTTTCTACAGCTGTATTTCGTACATTCAAACTGACATGAATTTTCAAATGTTTAATTAAACACAGAATTATTTGAAACGTTTCATTATTCATGTTACCTTCCTTCATTTAAAGTTGCTAGGGAAACATTATTATTATTATTATTGGATATTTATATAGGGAACATATCCACGCACTAGTGCATGCTCAAGGCGTTGGTAGTTTTTCCCTCGACCATTGGATCTTATTATCAATCTCAACTCCCTGGGGATCATACAACTCTTGCAGCCACTAGGCGCACCGAGTTATTGCGGCTTTCCCATCCGTACGAGGTACACATTCACAGCTGGGTACTGGGACACATAATCACAGTATTTTGTCCAAGATTACTGCACGTTGCTATACCCGCAACTAGGTGTTTGCACGTATTCATGTGGCCACCATCTGGTCATATACCAACGGATTCGTGGGTTCTTTTAAGTGCACAGGGTTGTGTACTGTACACATACTACTGTAAACATTAATTAATGTGCATTCTGAATGAGTGGATGAGTAAAAATCGCAATGTAATTACTGCCACATATAGATGAAAATGAGGTACTAAATTTAAATCATTCTGAATTATATATACTAAAGTGTGTTTTAACAAAACTATGAGTATGTGACATATTTTCAGCATGATAACTGAATTACAAAAGAAAATAAAACCTGCCCCTCTCCTGATGTCGACACGATTAGATATGTGTATGTTGCAAATTTGTACGTTGATAATTCTTTCAGCACTTATCGTAGCTTTCTTGAGTTTACTACATTCCCCATGTAACAAAGCGATTGTCTCATTACATATTCGTTCTGTTTTCATTTTTCCCAATAGGGTGGATAATCTACCGCTCGATACGAGTTCGTGAATGTTGTGTTCACAGAAGTGCAACGAACGCCCCGCACGAACACACCATTCATATGATTCGCGCCAACTTCCTGTTTGTTGACCATTAAGAAAGTAGCATCGTCTGCCACATTCAGTCGAACATGGACAAAACATCTTACTGGCATCGTGTCACCGGTAATTTGTTTTGTTTGATTTTGAATAATTTGAAATCTTCCAGCTGTTATGCTTCTTTTAGACTCAGTATGCATGCCATGCTGACTCACAGCGATTTCCGTGTTAGTAATGGGACCTGTCCAGAATTTCCATATTAAACGTGTGGGCATCTTTGTAGAACGTTTGAACCTCACGTCTGGTGAACAACTGTTCGTGTATGCAGTACATACCGGGGCCCCCATACCGGGACAATAACTGCCTCTATCAACGTGTGATACAGTTAATTTTATTAGGCTATTAGACAGCAGACATTTCTATGAGTGTCAGCCATAAATATCTTATTTTTAATTCGGAATACCTTGATCACGGCACATTGGGGAAAGACTTCCGCGCGTATCCCCCCTTAATTTCATTCGAGTCAAACCATATCACCTGAATGTATATTTCTCAGCTGATAAGGATGTATTTTAACATATTTCTTTAATTGAATCTGAACATACTGAAAGACATGTCCGACTTCTTAAAATGCCACTCAAAGAAATATTTCCTCATCGTTATAATTTAGGGGGGATACGAGCGGAAGTCTTACCCAAAACCCTGTTATTTTAGTGAGATGGCTAAGAATGGTAGCAAAACAACTCGGAACTATAACAAGGGGTTTGTGCATATTTCTTACCAATATTATATGTTACTGCTGCATGTGGCATCAGGTTCAAAAATGAAAATTGCACACATGCAAATTTCATGTCATACATCAATCATCTTTCAATATCTTTTACTGTACAAGCAACAGTTATCCTATGGTCATGAGGAAGTGCAAGTGGTGATGCACTCTCAAAACATTCATTATTATCATGTTGATACTCTCACAGATTATAAGAAGGATATATATATAACATGACAAAATCGATTCGGCAAACATTTCTGGATAATTTAATGGAGAAGTCAATCACAAATCAGTAACGCCAGAGAATCACAGAACAAAGCAAGGGGTCAGCAGGATTCAATAAGGGGTATGTCCACCCTGTGCCCCGCCACATGCTTGTAGCCAGGGACTGACACAACTGTTTCAAAATATGCTGTGGAATCTCTTGCCAATAATGTTGAAGCCTTTGTGTCAACTCTGCAACAGTTTGTAGCAATACGAGTTGAGTTCGAACCTGTCTTCCCTGTTCATCCTACAGGTGATCGATTGGGTTCATGTCCAAAGACAATGCTGGCCAATCCATTACACTGACATTCTGATTATGCATGAAGTCTCTCGTTCACCTTGCAGTGTGGGGATGGGCATTGTCATGTTGGAAAATAAGCTGTACACAGACACCATGTTGAGCCAGCAACGGGAGTAGCACTGTATGGAGGATGTTGTCCACATACCAATGAGCGTTGGGGTTACTTGAAACCACTACTGGGACCGGAAGTTAACGTTGATACCCCCATAGCATGATGCAACACCTCCGAAACAATCTCTTTCCAGAACACAGTTACGAGCAAAGTGTTCATGTCGATGTCAGCAAATGCGATGTCGTCCATCAGAAAGACTGACATTGAATCGGGATTCATTGGAGAAAATGACGATATGCTATGGTGTGTTCTGCAGATTTCCCCCATTAGCTGCCCATCACTGTTTGGCAACTGTCCCTGTGGTGTTGAAACAATGTATGAGGCGAGCAATAGTGGCTAGGTGGACGTGAAAATGTAGGGCGACCTCCACCTGTGCAGCCCCTTGGTTCAGCATTCCAATTGCGTGGTTTCTGTTGTCTTGTGTGAGACGGGCATTTTTCGGAAGTGATGAATATTTGAATTGGCAGATGAAGTTGAAGGGCAAGTGCAGGGAATGCATGTGCACGTGTGACATGGGACAGCTGAGTCGTGATCACACAAAAATCTTGCATTTTCAACAATAAAGGTCATTACTGTGAAATGATCTGAGCTCCAAACCCGGGATTCCACAGGAGAGGACCCAGTGCACACAGCATATCTGTGATTTCAGGACAAATACCCCAAGTAACTCTTTGTCAGAAACTACATAAAATAGTAGTTGTGTTTTTAAGGGCTTTGAGTATATCCCAGAAATAACAAAAATTAACATGTGCCCAAGTTGCAGACGCTATTTTCATAAGTTTGACTTTGCCTAAAATGACAGTGGATGATATTACTGAACAGGGAATTTCGAACAGAATTCAAAACTGTGAAGTGCATTTGTGTACGAGGTGTATTTGAATTATATTCAACTTCAGAGTGAGAGTTGAAGAGGTGTATATGTATACTACTTTTGTACTGTCACTGAACCCACAAAATGAAGAAGAAATGCTAGTTTGTGGTCATGTGAACACTTCCAGCTGTGGAGAACATGGTCCTCAGGTTATGGTCCACGGAATGGAGTTATCTCCCTTACCATGCTTACATTGTGAGTCAAGCTTGGGAATTTGCCCATTTGACTTGAAAAAGATGGTTTTAGGGGGAAATATCACGTGTCAGTGTTTAAAATGTATTGGTACTTTATCATCAGTTTAGCTTTAACCTGACATTTCAAATTGACCTGTAGGTGTGGCAGTTGTTGATGGCTGCCTGAGGGTCACAGTGTATGTAAAGGACTCATTAGTTACATATAACATAACATTTTGCTTACACTGTTTGGACTGTTTCATTAGTGGTCTGTGACTTAAGCCACTTCTAAACACACATCAATTTAATGCTCTTACAATACATGATGTGTGCAGAGAAATATAGTAAAATTTTCTGAACTTTGTAAAGTATAAAGTTTGGTGTACAGCCACATTCTGATGTCATTGTTGTGTTCAGTCTAGGTGATGAACCCGGTTGTGATGGCCAAGCTGTTGTCCGAAATGGATGGACTGACGAGGACCATGGGGTCCAAGGACCGACATGCCTCCCGGGTGCAGGATCTGCTATATCAACAAATGCTGGAACATTCCACATTCTGTGATGTTACCCTCGTCATTGGAGAAGTGGTAAATCTTTGTTACCTTCACATAAAGCAAGTAAAAAGGAGTTTCATGTATGTTTGCTTGTTAGTTCTTGAAAGCAAAGATGGAATGCTCTCCAAAGTACAGTCAGACCTCATATATCCAAACTTCAGATATCCGAATACCTTGGTTTCCGAACATTCTTCACAAAAAACGAAATTTTCTAGTTACAATTTACCTCATATATCCGAATGTTTGGTTTCCGTATCCGAACGGTCAATTTTGGTAACGAAACAGCAAAATATGTACAAATTTGCCTCGTATATCCAACTCCAAGGCTGTCGTCGGCAAGATGTCTGATGTTTACCGCTCCTTAACAGTGCTAAAATGTATCATGTCTACCGCTTGTTAAAACATTGTGCTGGCTGCTTGTTAATTCATTGTTTATTGAATATTTATCACAGGGCGTGTAGGTTAATTAGAGAAGAAACAATTAAAGTTTGACATTGAGTTGACACTGATTCAAATAGTTGATTGAGGAGCATAAGTAAAGACGGAGGTGTATGCTAGATATAGAAACAACACAAAGGTGTGGATGACAGCAGACCTGGTTCCTGATTGGCTGCTGCCTTTTGATCGACAGATGAGGTCACGTGGAAGGCAGGTCATTTTGCTTGTTGACAATGCGGCTAGTCACAACTGTAAAAATCTGAAACTGACCAGCGTGACTGTCCATTTCCTGCGACTCAACACAACCGCACACATTCAGCCAATGGATGCAATGGATTTGAAAATTTCGGCGACCTCACAAACCTGGAGCTGTTGTTAAAAATCCAAGCAGCGAATAACAACTCTGTCCGTCAACAATCATCAATCATCAATCAAAGACTTTTTCAAGCTGATGTAATTTATGTTATGTTATGTTATGTTATGTTATTTTAAATAAAGATGTAGTTATGTTTCAGTGTTATTTTTAGTTGTTTGGTTTTCACGTGTAGCCGACCACCTAGGTCCTGATTCAGATATCCGAATGATTTGTTTGTCCGAACAATTCAATAAAAAAACAAAGTGTTCGGATAAACGAGGTCTGACTACATATGTAAATATGAGATTGGGGCTGTACAGACTGGACAATATATTCCATGTGTTGTTAGTAATCCAGGTTCAAAACAAAGGTGTGGTCATGAATGAGATCATGTTACTTTCATAACAGAACAGAGATATGTTATATTGGATTATCGTGGATTAGGTAGTTGCGATGTGGACAGTTGCCCTAGCAGTAGATTTATGTGAAGTGAAACATTTGGATAAAAACAGTTTCAAACCAAATCTTTTGATCTTCTTTGTTACACAAGAAAGCTTTATTTTACTTCCTACAAAAGTATGTTAGTAATCACCGACAGGACAGATATTGACCCCAGTTGTGAATGTCAGCTTGTCATGTTGACAACAAAGTATGACGTGAAACAAAACCTAAGTTAATGTCAATCTGTACTTGTCTCTATCTTCAGGAGATCAAGGCTCATTGGTGTATTCTGGTGTCCTGCCCGTTCTTCCAGTCTCTTTACGACAGTGGCATGAGGGAGAAAACAGCAAGTAAGCATGTCACATCTCCGCATAAGCTGCATATATGCTTGATGTACACAAACTAAATCATCACAATCCTATTCATTTTAAGGTGATCAGTACAAATATGCATTGCGTACAAATTTACATTACAAAGACCTGTAGTATATTACATTTTGTTACCTAATGTATTCTTTTGTGATTGTGTTCCTGTATTTCTTGACAGACCTTCATTTACTAGTCAAATGTAGGCATTACATGTACATAAACTCAACTTTGTAAAGCACTAAAGCAGCATTGATTCTTTCACAAAACATGTATACAGACTCCCTTTGGCACCATGTTTATTTAACAACATGGCTATCCAAGTACTCCAGATACTGTAGATTGTGATGTGAAGCCCAGAATGACTTCTGTGATAAGCACAGTGTTTTTCCCTACAATGTCCTGTCTGTGATCACTGATTTACCCGCAGAAAGAATGAATATAAACTTATGAAATATAAGTATTGCATCGGGTGGAAATCATATTCACTCATAGCATTGAGTTTTGTGTCGTATACGGACCCTTCTGTATCTTTGCACTTCTAACTCCACTTTTTGACTAGTTGAATGCATTCTGTGTGTTGCAGGTGAGGTACACCTAACATTTGGAAGCGCGCCTGGGCTATGAAGGAGGCAGTGAAGTTCCTTTATGTTGGCACAGTGGAGGTCAATATGGATGCTGTGAAGGAGCTGCTAGAAGCTGCAGAGTATCTCCAGATAGGAGAAATGAAGAAGTGCTGCAGCGACTACCTCTTCCTCATTGACATCAACGTTGACAACTGTGTCAACCTGTCACTGATGGCTAGCTTGTATGACCTTGAGCTATACAACAGAGCATTCCAGTTTCTCAGAGGGCACCTGCCTGAAGTTATGGGCAAAGATGACATCTTGGTTCTAACCAAGGAATCCATTGTGTTCTTATTGACAGATGAGACACTCTCCTATGTATCCCAAGAGGAGTTCTTTGATTTCATTTTTAGATGGACAGTCCATGAGTTAGATGAACGAGAAGACAGCTTTCCAGAACTGTTTGCGTGTTTGGACCTTACTAAAATGAGCAAGTCATTCCTGGAAGACACAGTGGAACATTGCCCCCTGGTTGTGAAGTTTGAAAAGTGTAAAGTACATTTGTTGAATGTTAAGGTGAAACAAATGTTTGGAATGCTTACTCACAGCATAGAGCAGAAGAATGTGATCCTTATCTGTGGTGGCAGTGGTCCAGGTGTGTACATAGGCCACTTTATGCTGCCGTACTCCGACTTCATGTCGGTCAACAACATGTTTGCTTACGTCATAGATGAGAAACGGTGGACGGAGTTAGCACCTTTACCATATGCCATGCGGCGACCTATGCTTGTCTGTGATGAAAGTGGGAACTTGTATGTGTATGACAATTCTAACGGACTAGAGGAATTCTACCTGTTTCAGTACAGAGTCTCTGACAAGACGTGGACGAGCATTAAAGTAGTGTTCCCTTCCAACTGTGAGAATGTAACCATCCAGAACATGGTTTGTTGTGCCAACAGGATTTTCTTCATAGCTTCTGGCATCTTGAAGAAGAACCAGGCTTCCAATGGAGGAGCAGCAGCAGCAGCAGCTCATGCTAGCCAGAACACCGCATGGACATGTTTCCTGATGGAGGTCAACCAAAATGCAGAGGAAAGTACCATCAAGTGTAAACTGTTCCCTAGAAATCCGAACACTGAGATCAATGTCTGTGCAGTGAACAACACCTATGTGTGTGTTGCTGGATGGAAGTGTGGCGATAAAGGTGGGAAGAAGAGCAGACACAGTGCTAAGTTTGTCTACTTCGATACAAAATCTGATCGCAGGTATGATGCATCACGAGGCTGCATATTCGAGAACTACATGTTTCCATATTCAGATGGAATTATGGTTGGTAAACCCGGGGAAGATGTCTACCCGTGTGTTCTCATTCCAGGACAGAAAGTGGAAGCCGAAGAAAGACTTTGGAATTCCCCTTCCTCCCGAAAATGGAGATCGTGTGGATTTCTCGTACACATGTTGTAAGGATGAGTTTTATGTGTTTGGGGGAAAGAGCCTTGAGACAAAGGAACCGTTGAAATCAGTGTTCAAGTACAACCTTGAGAAGAAACAGTGGATCAAGGTGGAGGACATGCCCGAGGCCCTGATGGGGAGTGCTGTGTGTGTGGGCAAGATGCCCCGTGATCATGTCCGCTGCCACATCCAGTGTCCTCATTGTCAGTATGTGACTCGCCGCAGTCAGGCAACATATGACATAGCCTATTCCGACAATCCTGATGATGATGATGATGAATACTCTATCGACAATTACTCCTATGACTACTCCAATCATTCATATGTGTGGGATGAAGATGATATGATAGACCTGGATGATGATGACATCTATGATGAAGACTATGACTACTGGGCAACATAGAGGGAAGCCACCACTTAGGTGACCTATATGGTGTGTGGACATGTGCTGTCCAGTGGTGACAGGACAGTTACCAAACTAAATGTGTTTACTGTAAGGAAACAGTTTTGATTGAGCCATGAAAATATATGTGGCTTCAGTTTCCTAATCACTCCATGTAATCTGACTCATTTAATTGTATGGACATTTTTATCAAGTATTTGATAACTACAACATCATTTATTGTTTTTTTTCCACAGTCTATATTGTAGAACACAATTACCAGTCATGCTAAGTGTGAAATTCCTTTGATAAGTTGAAAACAACATGATTTGTTTAATCATTTTAGCGTTTTGTTTTGTACATTACAATGCCTCTCAACTATCATGCTGTTTAACAGTCTTCTTATAATCTACTAGTAATGACTACTTATGTCTTCCAGTGACTGAGGTTGTCTTGTGGTCAGCTTCGTGCAAAGAGCTTAACACCTGAATCATCTGTAATGTCATTCTATGTATTCAAGCCCTGCATAATTCTCTGTAAGGACTGTGAACCCTAGCAAATGTGCTGTAAGGACATGAATCATGACAAATGTATCTGGATTAGAAATATATTTGATGTTGAGCTGTGTTCTAAACAGTTGTTTTTTATATGCTGTTTTATAATAGTGCTGCTGGAACTTTAAATTTGTGTTGGCTATTTACTGTTTACCTTGTAACAAGGCTTCCTTGCTGTACAAGTATCTGCAGCCCTAACCATGTATACAGTCATGACTCATCGTAACAAGGCTTCCTTGCTGTACAAGTATCTGCAGCCCTTACCATGTATAGTCATGACTCATTGTAACAAGGCTTCCTTGCTGTACAAGTATCTGCAGCCCTTACCATGTATACAGTCATGACTCATTGTAACAAGGCTTCCTTGGTGTACAAGTATCTGCAGCCCTTACCATGTATAGTCATGACTCATTGTAACAAGGCTTCCTTGGTGTACAAGTATCTGCAGCCCTTACCATGTATACAGTCATGAGTCATTGTAACAAGGCTTCCTTGCTGTAGTAGTATCTGCAGCCCTTACCATGTAAGTCATGACTCATCATAACAAGGCTTCCTTGCTGTACAAGTACCTGCAGCCCTTACCATGTATACAGTCATGACTCATTGTAACAAGGCTTCCTTGCTGTACAAGTATCTGCAGCCCTTACCATGTATACAGTCATGACTCATCATAACAAGGCTTCCTTGCTGTACAAGTATCTGCAGCCCTTACCATGTATAGTCATGACTCATTGTAACAAGGCTTCCTTGCTGTACAAGTATCTGCAGCCCTTACCATGTATACAGTCATGACTCATCATAACAAGGCTTCCTTGCTGTACAAGTATCTGCAGCCCTTACCATGTATAGTCATGACTCATCATAACAAGGCTTCCTTGCTGTACAAGTATCTGCAGCCCTTACCATGTATAGTCATGACTCATTGTAACAAGGCTTCCTTGCTGTACAAGTATCTGCAGCCCTTACCATGTATACAGTCATGACTCATTGTAACAAGGCTTCCTTGCTGTAGTAGTATCTGCAGCCCTTACCATGTATAGTCATGACTCATTGTAACAAGGCTTCCATGCTGTACAAGTATCTGCAGCCCTTACCATGTATACAATCATGTCTCATTGTAACAAGGCTTCCTTGGTGTACAAGTATGTGCAGCTCTTGCCATGTATAGTCATGACTTTGTAACAAGGATTATTTGGTGTGTAGCTAATCTACATTTTTGGTTCGCTTTTCCAGTGGTGTTTGGCAAAAAGGAATATGAAACGTTGGCCCCAGAAAACACAATTAATGCATATCTAATTGTTCACATTTAATTTTTAACTTGATTAATATATTTGTGTTACAGGAGGGATGGTTATGGATCAAAACCAGTTGGAAGGGTTGTGAATTTATTTTTAAATTTCAGATTAATTGATACTGTGTGACCAGTTGACTTGTTGACATATCAACAAATAAGCGTATCTGTAACTCTGTATGTACTTTAGTGACCTCTAAGACCACTAAACTTGAGTGACTTGTCATCTGTGTGTGAGTATGTGTGGAAGTACCTAAACTGTTATTTTTTTTGATAGTCTGTATCATTGTGTCTTCATGCTTGAAATTGAATATGTGTGTTCCATGTGAAGCCTCTGACACTGCTTGGACACTTGTCCTGATCTTAGACGGTGAAGACTTATCAGAGCAAATGAGCAGTGATGAGATCACAACACCAGGCTTACAAGCCTTGTCTTGCATGCCGTTAATGCCTCTTGTAACTGTAGAACAAATCTGTAACAGAATCCTCTGATAACAGTTTACCAATGATGCATAGAACATGTTTAATAAAGTTGCCCAATTTGTAAAGCATATGACCAATAATGAGGTATCTTTTGTGAGGGACTTTCCTTCAGGTTAATAGGTAGTCCATGGAGCTGTTCAATCTGTACACTTTGCAATATGTATCTAGGATGGCAAGTCCTGATTTGTTTGCTCTGTTCATGTGTGTATTGCTCTGTTAATATATTGCAATTTCAGGTTCAGCAACTCTCCAGGGTTAAGTTTCTCCCTAAATTTTCTGGTTTGGACTTATCATAATTCAACCAATATTAATATCATGATAATATAAAAAAATTGATATGGTGACCATATAATTTTGTTATGGGCGTATTGTTAATCTCATCTAACCGCTTCTGTGGTGTAGTGGTTTGAGAGTCCACCCGGAGAGGGAAGGTCACAGGTTCAATCCCTGGCTGTGTCATGCTAAAACACATTAAAATATGGTACTTGTTTTGTTATTTCCTGCCTGGCGTTCGCATTAATGGGTAAAACATTGACTGGTCGGCTCAGAGTCAGTATTATGTGTCTGAGTGGGGTATTCATGCTTAACTGCGGCAAGGTATCTTGGTGAACTAACACTATAAAACCTGCTTAAGTCTGGGCTAGTACAAGCAGCCACACATACATTGGAATACAGGTCATCATGTGAGCGAAATATTCTTAAGTACGACATTGAACCCCATTTCACCTCACTGTCTTGTCTCATCTATGGATAAATGTCAACATTGACTGTTTTGAGAAGTCTGCATGTCCATGTATCTGATATGTCTGGCGTTATATCATCAGCAGTGTATAGCCAGTCAGATAACACCCTGTGCAACACAGGCAGGAGAAGGGTGACAGCATTTGTTGGCAATAGTTTAGAACTATGTAATGACCCCTAAATCCAGTTACCCTAGTCTGTCGTACAGACCCTGAAGCAAATACATGTATATCCAAGAAAGCCAACGCAAGTCTAGAAAATGTGGCATGTCTAGATTTCCACAGCTTCAGGGTCTGTACCAATCTGCTGAATTCACAAGCCAGAATAACTCGGGCTGTCACTAGTGTTTAATATTAACTCATGGGGAGCCTCCCCCCACCACTCCCCAAGACCCCACACTGAGCCAAGACCTCCTGCTTCTGCCTGTCCTCTCACTCCAGACAAACAACATGTGTGATTACACTAGAGACCTGATGACTTATAAAATCTGAGTATTTTCTATAACTGTTTAATTTTACACTGGCGAGGAGAGGGGATCATTTCGAACAGTTTTCCATCTCAGGGTAAAAATGAATTGGAACTTTGATGAGGATGAAAGCAAATATACATAAATCAGAATACAATGATTGAAAAGTACTTAAGTGGTGAAGATGTGTTGTTTTGTTCTCCATCCAGGAGTGGAAAATCACTGACATTCGAAATTCTCCCTATTCAGACAAGTCAGTAGAAAATACAAGCCATGCTACTGTTATTGTTATGTCATCCTTGATTTGCATGATGAAGAGACAAACAGAGAAATGTAAATCATTAGGGTCAAAGCATTGTACCTCAACGATGTAGGCATTTTGACTATATCCATAAACTTTGAAAAGACATTGTCATGGGGATCTGATGGCATATTGTTACCCCCCGCAATTGCGAATATAGAAACAAGTTCCGTCCGTCCGTGACGCTTTGTCTGAAGCATATCTCCTAAACTATTTGTGATAGCTTAAAGGAGAATACGAGTGAATTGCAATAATTTGCTGGGTGAAAGATAAAGTCATCAGGAACATATTCCCAAATTTTCAATTAAAAATTATGTATAATTATGTTTTAATCGCGAAAACAGTTTCTGTAAATCTCAGCTTCGGCTATTATGCATATTTCGCTGGAACCCACGTGACCTTTCCGCTCGTGACGTCAAATGTGCCTGGAGTCCGCCATATTGCCAAAGAACAAGCGCTACAGTAGTACAAGTCGTGTTGTTTTTAAATGGTTCGATGCTGTATTGCGTTGCCTGGGGATGCACGGCATCATCGAACATGGGAAAGAACCACCTTTTCTTCCGTTTTCCAAGTGAAATGACAGATTTCGGCAGGAGAAATGCGCCGATCATTCCAAGAGACATGCACGCATGGGGTATGGAAATCCCCAAGCTAGGCTGAAGAAGGAAAAAGTACCCACAAGATTCATTTATACTCAATCATTCCCTGTAACAACTTACTGTCAGTGGTATTTTTAACATAAATAAAATCAAGTCCGATTGCCAGTCGAATTGCCCCGCTACAAAAATGATCCAGCAAATTTGGTCAAATTGCCCCAGTGGGGTAGTCAAAATGTCCCCAATTTATTTAAAATGAATAAATATAGGCCATAAATGCATAGTTTTGTCAACTTTGATATTATGTTCTTCATATATAAGTATATACATCTACTAGCCACATAAAGAAACTGTGCATTGTCAAAATATTATCCCAGTTGATAAGTACGATAACAATGTCAAAGGTGCATATAAACTTTAATGGAGGGATCATGAGACCATAACAAGTCGGGAGAATTTCAATTGAAAAGTCAATCACAATGACGTCACGAGTCCACAAGCGGGACAGGGGTCAAACGACCATGTCACAAGCTCAATAACGGGTATGTCCACCATCGGCATTGAGAACAGCAGTGCATCGACGACGCATAGAGCCTATCAAACGTGCAAGGAAGGCTTGTGGGATGTCACGCCAGATTCTCTCGAGTTCTGTTGCAAGGTCAAGGACGTTATCTGGTGGATGAGGAAGACGGCGTAGACGTTGATCCATCTCGTCTCAAACAGCTCTATCGGGGAGAGATCCGGTGAATTTGCAGGTCAAGGCAGTAAGTCAACGTTGTGGTGTTGCAACAAATCCATAGCAACCCTTGCCGTATGAGGGCGGGCATTGTCCTGTTGGAATGTTAACCCAGGGCCATGACGTTGCAGAAAAGGAACTGTCACAGGTCAAAGAATCTGATCCCTGTAGCCCACACCAGTTAAGTTGCCCTGAACAATCACCAAAGGAGTTCTTTGGCGAGCTGTTATTCCACCCCAAATCATCACGGAACAAGAACCAAAGCGATTCCTCTCCAAGACACATGCCTGTGCATAACGTTCTCCAACGCGTCTATAGGCACGTTGACGTCCATCACTGGGAAATGTTAAACCTGGACTCATCTGTAAAAACAACATTTCTCCACCAAAACAAGGGTCTGCGGACATGATTTCGGCACCACATTGGGCAAGCTTGTCGATGACGTCTCAGGATAGGCCGTATGGCG